GGCTCATGCCTGTAATCTGGCACTTTGGGAGGCCAAGGTGTGAGGATCACTTGAGCCCAGGAGTTGGAGATCAGCCTAGGCAACATAGGGAAATCTTGTCACTACACAATAAAAAAAAAAAATTAGCTGGGTGTAATGGCATACCTCAGTAGTCCCAGCTATTAGAGAAGCTGGTGGGTGCGGTGGTTCACACCTGTAATTCCAGCACTTGGGGAGGCCAAGGCAGGTGGATCACCCAAGGTCGGGAGTTTGAGACCAGCCTGACCAACATGGTGAAACCCCATCTATAAAAAAGAGAGAGAGAGAGAAAGAGACGGGGGGGGGGGGGGGTGGGGGGGTGGGGGGGTGGGGGGGGGAGGGGAGAGAGAGAGAGAGAGAGAGAGAGAAGCTGAGGTGGGTAGATCATTTGAGCCCAGGAGGTTGAGGCTGCAGTGAGCTATGACTGTACCCCTGTACTCCAGCCTGAGCAACAGAGTAAGACTCTATCTCAATAAACAAATAAATAAATAATGCCCCAAATCAGTTTCTTGTCATATAAGATAATACATTATTACCAGACAATATTGTCCCTTATCAAGGGGAAGCTAATAACTGCATCAGCCTCAAAATGTTTGTGAAACAAATAAGCAAATGATAAATGTAATTAAATCCCAATAAATACATTAAACAACTATTGGAGAAACAGCTATTACTCTGAACATCAACACTGGTGTAAGAACTAAGTAGTTTAACTTTATAGGACTATTCATCAACCTAAAAATAATTCCCATGATTTTAAGTATAAGGACTCGATACTTCTTTCTTCAGATCCTAAGTACTAGATCCAGATGAAGGGAAACCCAAATCATACTAGTCTTCATTTTTCATGAATGTGGATCCCCTCCTATGTAGGCAATCACATTAGAAATGCTGAAGGAGATCCTTCAGTCTTGCCTATAAATATTGGGAACATCAACAAATAAGATAATATTTGGAAATTTTTTTTTGAGCCCCTTGGACCACTTATAATACATCAATAATGGCAGGACTCATTCCAAACCACATTTTTTCTTTTCAAATTATCTTCTCTAATGTTTTTGTACCATCATTGCCTCTTCCTCTCAATTTATTTTTAAGATTGTTTTCTAACTAGAAAATGTATGCTCATATAGGCCCGGCACGGTGGCTCACGCCTATAATCTCCCAGCACTTTGGGAGGCCGAGTTGGGTGGATCACAAGGTCAAGAAATTGAGATGATTGTGGTCAGCATGGTAAAACCCCATTTCTACTAAAAATGCAAAAATTAGCTGGGCATGGTGGCATGTGCCTGTAGTCCCAGCTACTCAGGAGGCTGAGGCAGGAGAATTGCTTGAACCCAGGAAGCAGAGGTTGCAGTGAGCCGAGATCGCGCCATTGCACTCCAGCCTGGGCAACAAGAGTGAAACTCGTCTCAAAAAAAAAAAAAAGAAAGAAAAGAAAAAAGAAAATGTATGCTCATATAGAAAATTTGAATAATAAATAAAATTCAAAGGAAAAATACCCATAATTCTATCAATTTTTTTCCCTCCAGGATTTTGATAAAATAATTACAATCTGAAAGAATGTATCTTACATCTTTTTTCAATGTCAACGGAAAAATATCTTTAAAATAATTCACTTAAGTTTTTGATAAGAATTCACATAGGTTTTTGGTTAAAATATGGACTGTTTTAATGCTTACTTGCCTCTACTGTCTTTATTAGGAAAGTAATAGAGGTATTACCACCCAGCAGGTCCAGTTGAAATCACAAAATTAAATACCAGCATTATTTGACTCTACTCCAGGTGTTGCTGCTTCATAAACTTCATTTTAATTGATGTGTAAATGATAGCTATCATGTATGGAGAGCCTTATTTAATGATATATTCATATCAACCACCACAGTAAGATATTTTTCTTACTTTACAAAGCAAGGATCTGAAATCAGTCACACAGGTCTTAAGGGGTACATTGAGAATTTTAGGGTATTTGAATGCTGCCTTCTCAGCTTCCAAGGACATTCTTTCTACTACAGCCCAACCTCAACATAAACATCATAATCTGCTTAACGAGGCCCTGTGGTTGGGCACTTCAAATGCCCACTCCCCTCTCTCTTTTCTAAACAATTAGCAATAATGTTGGAGAAGCATTTGGTGTATAAAACTTTGTTTCTATGATTATTTTCCCCAAACAGAGTGTTTAAATTATTGTGTTAAAGGAGGCAGGAACATTTTAAAGGCTATTTCTATGTATTGCCAATTCCTTGTCTCAATGGGGTTGGCCAAATTGTAATTCAATCAGCTGAGCCTGAGGCCTCCTGCTTCACTGTTCCCTTTATAAAAAAAAAAAAAAATTGGTTCATTTGATAGATAAAAAGTGATTCTCTGTTGCTAAGTTTTTTTTAACTGTTATAATTCGTTATGTTTTAATACACCAATTCTCCATTCTACAAAGTGAACCTTATACAGGACTGGCTTAAGATTTTGAACTACAAAGGGAAGACAAGGGAGTGGTCATTATGCTTTTTCATCATTTTACTCACTCAACAGTCATTCAACTTCTACTCTTAGCCAGGTACCATCCTGTGCTAGTGTTGGGGATATAAAGATGAAAGTCCATTCTTGACATCTAAGAGCTTAAGGACTAGCAAGAGACACAGACACATAAACATACAATTTTAGTATAGAGTGACCAGCACTGTGACCAAAGAAACAAAAGGAAGATGCTTTGGGAAACACAGAAGAGGCCACCTAAGCTACTTCAGGAAGGTTCTGGAAGCCTTTTTGGAGATTCTGAGGTCTGAGCTCCATCTTGAAATGAAGCAGAAGTTAACCAGCTTTTCCCTGACATCCCAAACCCAAATTAATTGCTTCTTCATCAGTGTTCCCTTAATAGAGCACTTGTAACAGTGTTTGCACTTAGTTGTTTCCATGTCTTTTTTTCACTGAGCTGTGCTTCTTGAAGGGAAGGGACCATATCCCTAACAAGGCTAGCACAGTACCAAAAAAAGCAGTAAGAATGCAATAAATGTTTGTGTAATTACTTAAAAATTCTAGTCATGAACGTATTTCCACCCATATCTTCTTCTTGCATGTATATAAATGTGTAATTTTCCTTTTGATAGTAAAAATACGACTTTTACCACATACCATCAGAAGGGCTCAAAGGATGGGAAATAACGAGTGTTGGTGAAGTATATGGAGTAATGGAAATGTTCATACATTGCTGGAAGCAGCAGGAATTGGTTCAATCACTGGAAAACTGTTGGTGGCCTCTACTAAAGCTGGACTTTCTATATCCTGTAATGTGGTAATTCCATTCTTAATATACACTCAACAAAATGCATTCATATGTTCACCAAGAGGCACCTTTTCACCAAAGCAGCACTATTCATAACAGCTCAAGACTAGAAAATACAGACACCCATCAGCAGTAGAATGAGTAAGCGTATTATGGTATGATCACATAGACAAGGCAAAAGAATCTATACTCAATGATATGAAGGAATTTCATGAAACTAACATTGAAGACAAAGCCAGATTTTTATTTTTAAAAACTACTTACCATATAATTGCTTTTATAAAAATGTGCGAAACTGAGACATGAGATGATAAAGGGAGAAACTGAGACATGAGATGACAAAGGGAGTGTCATCATCTAGAAAGTGTTGCAATAAAATGCACAGCTAGTGCTGCCCTGTGGCTCTAAGATCTACCTCCTTCAAAAGTCTGCCTGTGGCAAATGCAGCTACCCGCCCCCCCAAACACAAGATAAAGTATAATTGGAGTGCTGAAGCTAAAAAACAAAATACCACCAGGACCGATTGAATGAGGCACCTAAAAATTCTGTATAGCAGGTTAAGGCATGGATTTTGTGATGGAACACCACCTAAACCCAAGAGGGCAGCTGTTGCAGCATCCAGTTCATCTTAAGAATTTCAGGCCAGCCAGTGGCTCATGCCTGTAACCCCAGCACTTTGGGAAGCTGAGGAGGGTGGATCACCTGAAGTCAGGAGTTCGAGACCAGCCTGACTAACATGGCAAAACCCCATCGCTACTAAACAGACAAAAATTAGCCGGGCGTGGTGGCAGGTGCCTGTAATCCCAACTACTTGGGAGGCTAAGGCGGAGAATCGCTTGAACCTGGGAGGTGGAGGTTGCAGTAAGCCAAGATTGCTTGCACCGAGAGAAGGAGATTGCAGTGAGCCAAGATCACGCCATTGCACTCCAGTCTGGACGACAAAGCAAGACTGTCTCAAAAAAAAAAAAAAAAAAAAAGGCAAAACTCTCCTTTGCTGTTAGAATTCAGGAAAGGTCAGTTAGGAGTAGGGAAGGAGTTTAGTGACTGAAAGGGAAGAGGGAGTTTCTGGGGATACTGTAAGATTGTTTCTTGAACAGGGTGCTGGTTGAACATGTAGATTCAGTTTGTGTATGTATGTATATTACACTTAGTTTTTTTTTTAGTAATATATCTTTATTACTAAAAAAGTATACAATTTTTATGTATGTATATTGCACTTAAAATTTTTTAAGTAATATATCTTATTTGAGAGAAAGCTAGAAAATATAGACATGTTTAACAATTTTTAAATCATCCACAATCCTACTAGCCAGTGATAACTAGTTAACATTTTAGATTTTTTCCATTTTTTTCAAACCAGTGTGCCCACACTCCCTCCTTTCCTCCACCCATATTTACACACATAAATTTTGCTAAATTAGGTTCATTCTCATTTAGTTTTATTTCTGCTTTTTAAATTTTTACATAAACCGTATCATTCAATATTCTTTGCCAGCATTTTATAAGCAGCTGAAACATACTCCATTGAATGCATATGCTCCAGTACATTTCATCAGTTGCCCGTTGCTGCATTTTCCGATAATCAGTCACAGTATCTCTCTCACACACACGCACACACGTACACCTCTAGACATTCTTTAAGTTCTGCATTCATTCTCTATTTCCCTCCAGAAAGGTTGCAGAGATTTATAGTTCCACTGGCAAGATGTGAGGGGTCCTTGTATCGCAGTCCAACCCCAGCCCATTTCTTAGTATAGGTTTGTTTTTACGGTGATAGGGCTCAAAGCAGGAATAAGGGATCTGCCGTTTTGGACACGGCCAAGGCACGCAGCTCCCGGGGCCTGGAACTCGCCCAAGGCAAGCCGGTCCCTTCCAGGTGCGCAGGCTCCCGACGAGACCCAGCCTAGCCAGGCAGCCCAGCGCGCTCCCGGGTCCCGCCGCCTCCGCCCCGCCCGGTTGCCGTGGGAACCACGGAGCGCGACTGCGCCCACAGACCAGCCTCTGTCTAAGGGGGCGAGGGATAGTGAGGCCCAGACATGGACCTGCCGGATCCGGTACGCCAGCGGCTGGGAACCTTCAGCCGGGCCGTGTTCAGTGATTCCAATCGGACTGGGCCGGAGTACAATGAGGGTCCCGGTGAGTGGACTAGGCCCGGCGCACCGGGTGTGGCCCGCCAAGGGCTTAGCGTGGGTTTTGGAGCCTCCAGAATTTGCCCAGACCTAAAATGGCGACGTCGCCTTCAGCTAGCTCTCCGCAGTCTTAGTTAGCGCCTTGGAGGAGGGGCCGGGTCGAGCGGGGAGCTGAGGCGCGGGCCGCCTATGGGCGGATAACCCAGGGCCGGGCCTGGTCTGCGCGTGCCGCCGCAGCCCAGCCGGCTCTTTATGAGAGAGGCAGCTGAGGTGGGGCCAACCTCTGTGCTAGGCGAGGCCCATCATTGCTCCAGAGAAACCCCAAAAATAAAAAGATAAAAGCCGTTTGCTGCACAGGCTGGTCCCGCGCGCGCCATGAGGGCAAAAGCCCAAGTTGCTTTTTCTCGGCTTCGCCCGCCCGGGCTTTTCTGGGCAGGATGGCGGGGAGCAGCCCAAGCAATCCCACCACCCCCGTCCTCACCCCCGTCCCAGGGAACACATTTGCCTTTTCTCTTTTCCTAGCAGAAAAGTATGTTCCTCCTCAAGGCCATTTGCTGGTAGAAGAAATTTTGAAACAACAACAACAACAACAAAATTTTTAATGAGTCCTTTCAAACCACCATTCACTCTCAACTGGCATGTGCCATACTGGCTGTCTGTTCAACAAAACTCACCTCTTCCCTGCCTTCTCCACCTCCCCTATATGTAACTCTTACCATAAGGTAACAAAATACCACGATGCTTCTGCATCCTTCAACCTGATGACAAGTGATAACGCAATTTCCTCCAAAACAGTTTCCTTCTCCTACATCATGATGGTAGACAACACACTGTCAACCAAACCCATGTGGTTTTCATCATTCAGCTCTGCTGGGAAATGGAAATCTTTTCCTCTGCTTGGTTTTAGCAAATTTTAAAAAGGGACAGAGAAAAGTAAAGTCAGTTCCTATAGCTGCATTTTGTCACCTTGATCACTTGCCTATTCCCCAAATGTAGGCCTTTGTCATTTAGGATATACAGAGAAAAACGGGAAAAAATTAAGTTTTGATGTTTCTGGTTCCAAGGATGAGGCTTAATGAGCACTAACATCTGATAATAGAAGGTAAAAACGGACGTTTTCTGAAAAGGGCCCGATAGTAAATATTTTAGACTTTGTAGGCCATATGGTCTCCACAGCAGCCATTGATAATAGTTATTGAATAGGCATGGCTGTGTTCCAATAAAACTTTATGGACCCTGAAATTTGTATTTTATATGGATTTCTCGTGTGAAAAAAATATTTCTTTTATTAACCATTTAAACATATGAAAAAACATTTTTATCTCATCAACTATACAAAAACAGGCATCTGGCCAGTAGTTTATCATCCCTGATTTATATTGTATGTTTTAATTTAAATTCCATTTACAGAACTCAACTTGAACTTTTGCAAACTTTAGTAAATTTATCTTATGCTTTTAAGTTTCATTTACATATTAACTTGATTTTCATTTCCATGATTATAACTTTGATCTGCTGAAATAGGGACATAGCATAACCTTTAAGATATTAACACACAATACTTCTAACATAAAAACCATTCTTCGCAAAATTTGACTACAGTTTCTTCTCAAAGGTACTGAAATGTTCAGCTTGCCCAATTTATTATTCTTTCCCACATTTTCTTCTTTGTGGATCTGATTCTTTGTGCTGTAATAACAAGTTCCTATCATTACCATGTCCACAGCATTGTGCTGTTGCTATGAAAAAGATCCTAGGCTGGTGAGTTGTCTTCAAATTTAAGGTTTTTTTTTTTTGGGTTTTTTTTTGAGATGGAGTCATGCTCTGTCGCCCAGGCTGGGGTGCGGTGGCCAGATATCGGCTCATTGTAACCTCCGCCTCCCGCGCTCAAGCAATTCTCCCACCTCAGCCTCTCGGGTAGCTGGGACTACAGGTGTGTGCCACCATGCACAGCTAATTTTTTTATTTTTACAAAATTACCCCCATAGAGACAGGGTTTCCCCATGTTGGTCAGCATGGTCTCATCTCTTGACTTCACGATCTTCCCGCCTCAGCCTCCCAAAGTGCTGGGATTATAGGCATGAGCCACCATGCCTGGCCAAATTTAACAGATTTTTAAGAGTTCACTCCTTTACCAGTGGTAATTTAATAAACGGATGTAAGCAAAAGTAGGTCATAATAATCAGGCATATTCTTGGAGCTAAAGGAAACTTTTGCTTTGAGAGACCATGATTATTTCTTATATTTTAAATGACCGATAAAAACACTCAGCTATGGAGACAAGGGAAAAATACTGTTTTAAAGAAATTTATTTTAGAGCCTTTAAAATGTTACGTGTAGAGCAACTGATTTCAGTATATGTATCTGCTCTTAAGAATTTAGTTAAACTTAGGATGTATTGTATAGGGCTCAATTTTAAAAATCAAATTCTTAATTTAAGACCCTTCTCTTACATAAAAGCAAAAAGTGTTATGGAATAAACCTTAGGTAAATGGAACTCATGTATCACAAATGGTTATACTAGTAATGTCCTTATGACAGTATGCTTTCATTAATTCATTCTTTCTGCTTATGTTGCTTATGTGTATTTGATATTCACTGTGTGTAAAGCAAGATGCTAGATTCTGAGGTTCCCAGATTAGGGTAATACATGGTCTGTGCTTGCAGTGAGCCCGTAGATAAGTAGAAGAGAAGAAGGAAAGGGGACTAATATTTGTCATGTGCCTACTAAGTGTGCCAGGCACAGTGCTAGGATGAAATAATGTATATTGGCTCTAATTCTCACAAGCAGCCTGTGAGGAAGCTTTAATTTCACTATTTTACAGATGAATAAATAGAAGCTCAAAGAGGTTAAGTAATTTATATCAAATCTGACAGCCAGGGTCACAGAAGTTTGGAGAGCTCAAGTTTGTTTGAACTCTGAAGCCTATGATCTGTTCAGTATACCAGACTGTTTTTTGGGGAGGGGAGTGTGGTTCTTTGCTAGCACTTCTTATACAGTTCAGAGTGATAAATACCTCCTAAAGGGAAAAAGAGATTTCTGCTGGGGTGGAGGAACTGATGAAGGAAGTATTGATGACAAGACGACATTGAATTGGACTTTAAAGAATGGCTAAGATTACGGTATGCTGAAAAGAGGGATGTCTAATTATAATCTTGGTAATCTGTTTTTGTATAAGATTAGTTTATATGTGAGAGATTATTTTTTTTATTTTATGCATTAATTTTATATGCTCTTTACATAGAATTCTACAAAGGAGGCAATGATACTTATCTGTTGAATAGGATTTATATTGCTATTCCACATTAAATCTATACCAGTAGTATATGCAAAAAAGTCAGAAGACTGTAATGGTAAAATGGTAAAATAATTGAGAAACATGAAATATACCCCCAAATAGCCAATATTTGATCTAAATGGTATTAGGATGAATACTCCTTTTACTGTCAATGATTACAAATAGGCTTAAAATTTGGAGTTTTACTGAGCCAATATTATAGTTATTAACTCTAGGGAACGGGATGTATATATAGGGCATAGACTGGGATTCATAATTTGTTCCTTTTCTATCCCTTCTATAGAAAATGAAATGGTCTCCAGTTTGGCATTGCAGATGTCACTTTATTTTAATACCTACTATTTCCCACTGTGGTGGGTGAGCAGCATTATGATGCTTCACGTGAAGGTAAATCTAAGCTTTAATACTTTTGCCGCCCTGACGTTGTTAGAGTGTCAATAAAATTAAAATTCTTAATAATTTTTTTCTATCTCAGATTAATGTTACTGTATGTGAAATTTTACAAACATGTTTTAGCTTTTTTTTTTTAGTACTCAATCTTGCCTGATTACTACAAATTCATTGTGATCACTGTTATCATCCTAATAACCTTAATTGAAGCCATCCGGTTGTATCTGGGCTACATGGGTAACCTACAGGAGAAGGTAAGCTCTTTTTTCCTCTCAGTGATAGATACAAATGAAATCAGTTTTCATAACAAGTAAAAGGCAGTGAGGTGTGGCAGAAAGAGCACAGGCCTGAATTTAAGGGCTGACTCCAGCTTTACCACTTCTGTTACTGTGGTCTGTTTGCTTAATCTCTTGAGCCATGGTTTCCTCATATATAAAATGGGGAAAATAATATTTACTTCACAGGTTGGTTATGATTAAGTGAAATGATTTATATGAAGTATATGAATGTAGTAAATACTTAAAATTGATATTTTCCCTCATCAGTCTCGAAAATACATGGTCACTTAAACATGTGTATTTGGATCCTGAATAAGAAAATGGGGGAAAATTATAAATTCATTTCCTATTCCAGGTCCATGTTTTCTGCATCATCATGCTGCCTAAGTATTTATGGTTACCAGAGTATAGGGGTAATGCCTAAAGATTCCTGTGGTTTTCTAGGCCCTTCATAATAAGGCCCCACCAGCCTGTCTTACTATAGGTTTTGCTGTTTTCTCACCCAGCCATCCATTCCAGGCTGATGTATTGATCCCCAGTCATGCTAGTTTAACATGTTTGCTTACTTACCTTTTTGCCTCTTCTTCCTTCTCCATAACTTTAAAAGCCTACATTCCTGAGGTCTTTCACCTACCCTAATCTCTATCTTATTTCTTGTAGCATTTAGTCTGTACTTCTAAATATTGCACTTAATTGTTTACTAAAGTGCAGTATTCTAGGATTGTTTTATATAAATTAGTTTTCTCATCTAGATTGTAAGTTCTCTGAGGAAAAGGACCATGTCATCCTTCTTTGGAATTACACACAGAGCCCATCATGTAGGTTCACAGTAGTGATATGTATTTGTTTATCTATATAAACAAACCTGTATTTTACTGATTTTTATTACTCTTGATGTGTGTCATTACAGGTTCCTGAGTTGGCTGGCTTTTGGCTTTTGAGCCTTCTATTGCAGTTGCCTTTAATTCTTTTCTTGCTCTTTAATGAAGGCCTAACAAATCTGCCCTTGGAAAAAGCAATACATATCATCTTCACTCTCTTCCTTGCTTTCCAAGTTGTTGTAGCATTTCTTACCTTGAGGAACATGGTCAATCAGTTGGCAGTTCGTTTTCACCTCCAAGACTTTGACCGGCTCTCTGCAAACAGAGGAGACATGAGAAGGATGAGGTCATGTATAGAAGAGATCTGACCCAGTGTTGTTGAGTGAAAATCTGACAGATCATTCTAGAAGACTGTAAGAGCTAGAAAATATCAGTGATCTAACAATGAGAAAAGGGACAAAGCAAGTGTTTTGAATTATATACGCTCTCACTCTGAAATTCTAAGGTTGAGGACAATGATGAAACTTTGTACAGTATATGAAACAGTGTATTAATCCTAAAACCTAGATGTTGTCCACCTGATGCCAAATTTCTTAATTTTTTGGATGTTGTTGTCTTTTTCAGGAGTATAGAAATCCACGTGTTGGTGGTTGTCATTTGTCAGCCTTCCTGTAATATTTCTGGTTAAAATCTGTAACTAGAGATGTGTACATTTCTTTAAAACTTGTTGGTTGGCCGGGTGCCATGGCTCACACCTGTAATCTCAACACTTTGAGAGGCCAAGACAGGCAGATCACAAGGTCAGGAGTTCAAGACCACGCTGGCTAACACGGTAAAACCTTATCTCTACTAAAAATATAAAACTTAGCCGGCAGCGGTGGCACATGCCTGTAGTCCCAGCTACTAGGGAGGCTGAGGCAGAAGAACCTTTTCAACCTGGCAGGCAGAGGTTGCAGTGAGCCAAGACTGTGCAACAGCACTCTTGCCTGGGCAACAGAGTGAGACTCCATCCAAAAAAAGCAAAAACAAAAACAAGCTTGTTGGTTATCCATGTCTTGGCTGCACATCTGACCATGTTTCTTGACATGGAAATGCCAGCCAGTGTTCCTATGTATTTGACTATATTTATAAACCAAGAGACCAAATTTTTATGTCTGCTAGGGTTAAATTCTAACCCTAATATTCGCTGTCATACTGAGATTAAGAAGAAAACAGGTAGATTGCCATGGTATTTAGGAAATATTTTTGTCATAAAATTATAACTTTCATAAGACCATATTCAGTATTTGTAATGGTGGTATACAAAACACTTTTATAATAAATTATTAAATATTTAAGTTAAAGTATCAGCAACAAATCATCCTTGTCTTGTGCAATTCTTTTGGGGCTATAGATCTGTTTTTTGTTTTTTTTGTTTTTGTTTTTTTTAATTACTGAGTTGCAAGGGAAGGAAGAAAAGCAAATCCTAGAGAGCTTTCTATGTAGTGGACACTGTAGTGGGCACTTTAACTTAGTGCTTGTGATTTCATCTACTAGGTTACTGTTCACCAAAGAACCACTTCATACCCATTAAATTCACATGAGGCTTGATTTGGAAACCAGAGCACCTCTTAATACATATGAGAGCTAAGATGGCCAAAGGGACTATACTCATGATCCAAAATGAGCTTGCTCCCTTGCTAATTGGAGAAATCTATTTTAGGAGATTGGGTTAAGAACAAAGTTGCTTGGGTGTGTCTGAACATTAGATTTAAGTGACTGTTGGATTGTCTTAAAGGATATGATATTTCATTACAGGTTTTCTTTTTTTCTATAGGGAAATGGGCCTTTATAAGTAATGTATTTTACTGAGGGACAGTTGTAGCTACATTAAAAACTGCTCTTTTCAATTTTCTTTTTTAATAATTCGTGCTTATCTTAGGATTTCCAGGTTTTGCTTTATTCATTCTTGTTTTGCTGAACTTCAAAAAATGTCTTCACTTCCCACTCATTCTTGATTTTTCCTGACAGAACTATGCTAATTTTATTATTTCTGCTCTTTGGGATTATATATAAAGTTCAGCCAAATATTTCTCCCTCCATGCAGTGGCTAATTAATCTTTTTCATACCAAAGTAGTCACTGGTTATACTCGTAATAATTTGGAATTTAAAATAGAATTCTGTTTGAATAGTTTTCTAAAACATGTATGTTTGCATTTGTTTCCCAGATGGGACTAGATAGATGATTCTATAAGAGAATATAAAATAAAATTAAATCTACAAAGCAGATAAATTAGGGCATGATGGAGACTTTTCTATTTCAAGATTGTTTCCAGAGTTTTATTTTAAATAGCAGAACTTCTGGCACATTTAAACTTTAAGATTAAGAGATTAATAACAAAATGTCAATCATAATCATAAAAAATTTTTTTAATTAAAAAATTTGAGAAAATTGATTTATCAAAATTTTCAAGTAATTTTGCTGTAATAAACATATTACTTAAAATGCAGATATAGTAACAGTGGCGGGGGAAGATAGAAAATTGAGACCATGACCAAGTCATTTGTTTGTTTTTCATGTGAACAATAAAACCATGACTTTTTGTATTAGGCTGAATGAATATTTTCCATTGGAATATACCTAGTTCCCTATATAAGTATATGAAAATCAGGGTAGAGTTGATATTTACATGTCAGCACATTTGGGGGTTAGGCAGTCTTTATTTTAATTTTATTTGAATCTGTTTATCCATCCTTAATTTATATTATATCCTCTCTAAGGATTTACAACACTGTTCTGAAATTTTTTAATTAAAATGTTGGACTTCACAAATGTTTTGTCCTTCACATATTTTTTCTTCCAGAGGCTTTTTCTCATCAGAGACAAGATAGGCATAAATTTCTGTAAATCAAAATTATTTTCTTTTTTTTATTTATTTTCTTTTTGAAACAGAGTTTTGCCCAGGCTGGCGTGCAGTGGTGCAATCTCAGCTCACTACAACCTCTGCCTCCCAGGTTCAAGTGATTCTCCTGCCTCAGGCTCCCGAGTAGCTAGGATTACAGGCACCTGCCACCACGCCTGGCTAATTTTTTTTTTATTTTTAATAGAGACAGGGTTTCACTCTGTTGGCCAGGCTGATTTTGAATTCCTGACCTCAAGTGATCTGCCCACCTCAGCCTCCCAAAGTGCTGGGATTACATATAGGCATGAGCCACCACACCAGACCTAAATCAAAATTATTTTAAAACATCAAAACTTATTAATTTAACATATACTTGAATGACTAGTATATGTAAAGAATAGTCAAAGGTATATAGACAAGACATGCTCCTGGTTCTCAGGGATATGATGTGGGAGATAAAACATTTGTACAATCTTAAGACAAAGTAAAAAAGCGTAACTGTATCAGGAAAGTGCATTGAATGAGTTTCTACCTACTAAGTACCTGACAAGTAACAGGCCCTTGGCTTCCAGTACATCTTCCATCTGTGTTCCTAGCACTTAGTATCCCAGGATTAAGCACATTAGCCCTACATCAACAACATTTAGCATTCACCGTGCTCCACATTGTCTGAGGGGAGTAGATGGCATTCAGGTTAAATGAATACACACTCAATCCCACTTGCCTGTGCAAACAAGAAGTTCACTCTCTGGTAGAAAAGGCAGATAAGCTATAAGTGATAGCACAGTGTGATGGGGCCCTGTAGGATAACAGAGAAGAGACATCGAAATGACGAAATCTGGAAAGCCTTCCCAAAGAAAGTGACACTTGAGATTTGAAGAATGAGTGGGTATTAAATTCAGTGTTAAGAAACAAAAATTAGTGACTGTGAGTTCTGTTTCAACGACTACAACTAGTTTGTTGAGCCTAGTGGAAAGTGTGCATGAGAAGAAATGGTGCAGAATAAGGCACAGAAGCTTGGAAGGTGCTAGCAAGCCTGTCTACAGCTTTGAATATATTCTGACTCCCTGAATAGTTTAAACAGTGGAGTATCACAAACAGAATTAGATTTCAGAAAGACCTCTTTGAAGACAATGTGAAAAATGGATTGAAAGGGTTGGACAAGAGGCAGAGATACCAAGAGGAATGTGATTATGTAACTTAGGAGTGAACAAACTGGCCTGGATAAAGTCAGTGGCAATAAAATAAACTTGAATAGAACCTACTATAATG